CTTTTGATTTCATGCAAGGTTTGAAATAAAGAATGAAACGCATTCAAGATTGGAAAGTGATGAATCCATATTCATATATTGGAAGTCGGTAATCACTATTTTGTCTTCTCAAATCAGATTTCAGTAAATCAAATGCTATTTCGATTTCACGATATATTTTTGATTAATATAATATGCACATTATTGGTATAATATCTCCAACAATTAGTGATTTGTGCATTGTTCAAGAGAAAATTGTACATTTTAGATTATATAATAGAAATCCTAGGTTCGTATAGGAAATTAAGATATACTTCCAACCCTATGTGATCTATTGAGCTATTTCACAACAATTGAATGCAATTTATTTGGTTTTAATCGATATAGATATATAGTATGTTAAACAAATCAATTAAGATTAATTTTGCTCGAGAAAGGTAATTAAATAAAATTGAAAAATCGGTTCTAACATCGTAAATGAGTAATTTATTAATTGACATATGGAGAAATTAATTAGGCGATAGTTAAACGAAATCATAAATTCCAACCACGTTTTCCTTCAAAAACTCACAAGTGTTTACGTTTTCTTATTTCCAAATCATAATCTTAATTGTGTGTTTCTTTTGAATTAAATTGATTAAAATTGTGTAATATAAAGTAAACATTTCTCGAGGGGTAGACAACTCGAACTCAAAAAATTCAGTTTATTACTTGAATTTGACCTCGTGCACTTGCAGTTCGCACTTTCATATCGAACATCCCTCCTAAATCTACCCCAACGTGTGTCTGACACGACACATGTCTAATATGTCGACTATGATTTTTCAAAAAAATATTGATGGGCCAGCCCTGAGAATTTTGAGACACTAGACAACTCATTATATGAGACCCTCTTAATTTTTTACTTAAATATTTAAATAATATATTTATATGTTAAACAAAGACCTGTTACAATCCAAATGATAAAGTAGAAAAAAATTTATCTCGACAACTTGAGCGACTGGGACATTGCCTTGTGTCAACAATTATTCACCACTTATTACATGAAATCCACAAATTTTCAACTACTTTTATCAAAATCTACTAAAAATCTAATTTTAATCACAACCAAACTGAGACTAAGTTAAAGTTGTGAAACTAACGCGAACAACACTAGTTGGGAAGAAAAATGGTTTGTGTCAATGTTTTGTAGAATTACAATATTAACCTTAAAACATACACACACATACAAACGAGAGTTCTCATTTTTCTTCCACTTCTCCCAGATTCAACATTGGGTATCATCTACTTTGGCAACTTCTTTATTTCATTTGCAGCCAAATCACTGTCTAGAATTACATTGTCAATTGAACAACCAAAATACTATTTAGAGTCAAATTATCGATCAAATGCTAACGACTTACCACCAAATATTATAATTTAAAATCACATTCTTCTTGTTAGAAAATATTTTTTAAAAAAGACAATTATTTCAAAGAGAACTTATCCGATGAGTTTAATCATATCTTTTGTGATCTCCACTCTTTTACATGTGATATAACTCTTTCTATATCTTGCAATTGATAATTTGATAAAATTTAGCCACTGTGTACATTGTTTGACACCCACCTCTATGTGTCAAAAGTCTGGCCAATGTTTAGAAAAAGTGTTATTAAAGTCAACGTATAGAATTCTGTCAATTCACGTGGATGTCAACTAGGTGTTAAGCTAGATGCATATGCAGCATGATTGATTTTGATATTTTGAAAAATCTTCATGCTTGATCATCACCTTGAATATCAAGACTATTCTCTAGATTCACCTAGACTGACTCTCGTGTTATAATTTATTGCAACTCATTGGATTGCTGGACTTCTATCGACTTTTGAACTTAACATTGGATTTGAATTTATAATTACCAATTTTTAGAAATAAGTTGCCATCCGACTTTACCCGGTTAGATGAATTTATTATTTTTTTAGCACGAAACCAACTAGATGACTAGCCCTCTACATGTATGTTGACGTTCATCGTCTATATCTTATCAAACATTACATTATTGCACTAGTATAATATTAAAAACTTACGCGTATGCAAATCAAAGTGAGTTAAGG